CCCGCGCTCGACCCGACTATCGCTAGTGCCTCGCCGCTGCGATCCGCCCCTCCTTGTTGTTTTTTTTAGATCGAAGTGTGCTCCACGCGTTAAGTTGGAAGTGGTGGGGGTGGGTGAGGTGCTGGTGCTGGTGCTGGGCGGGGGAGGCGCTCGCGCTTGCCTCTAACTAGCCTGAGGGGGCAGGCACCACACATAGCATCCGCTCGGCTGTCCGAGTGACGGTGGCGGGTGCGATATGGACTGGGATCGAACATCATTGGATGCTGTGTGGCCATAGTCGTTCGTTCAGGGGCTTGGTGGTGGCTACTGGCGGGGGTTGGGGCTGCTGACGGTGGCATTCGTCTCTCTGCTCAGCTTGGGGACTGCGACATGCCCTCGCCAACCACGACTGTATTGGCACTTGCTGCACTGCTGGTGGCGGTGTATGTGGCACAGTGGTCACCAGTGCCTTGTGTACTCCATCCCCATGCCGCCGCAACGGTCTCGGCCATGATTGCCCTCGCCGAGTCGGAGTCTCTGCCGCTGTACAGCTCGTTTGCCGAGGCGAACGAGGCTGGCCTGCCTGGGAGAATCAATGTTTCTGTCCTGGCGGAGAGCAAGGTGCTGGAGCGGTTGCAGGCTATCTACGATCCACCCTTTGGCCTCGTCGACATCAAGATCCAAGCCTACCGCGACTCGCCGGTCTTTGTCTTTGCCCACGGCTCGGACGGCGATCGGACGGCGCCTCGGCCCATGGCCATGCTGGATGATGTCATGGCCGCCCACGCTCCGCGGACCTTCTCGTTCAAGTCGGTAGCCGGCAAGGTGCTGGGCGATGCAATCAAGAGCGGGTGCGGGAAGAGCGCCGACGGCGAGTATGTCTACCACGCGACGTCGATTGTCAACTCGCCAGTCCATGGCCTGCAGTTGGCGCACATATTGGATGTACTTGGGGGCTCCTTCGCTCCGCTCGTCTCCAACTCGCCGCGCATGCCGCATGTCCAAGTCTGGGCTGGTGGCATTGGCTCGGTCTCACACACCCACATTGACGACTACGCCAACGCGTACATCCAGATCTCTGGCTCCAAGTCCGTGCTCCTCTCGCCGCCGGCCGCCCACACTGTGCTCCACACCTTTCCTTACCTCCATCCCGGCCACCTGCAGTCGCAGGTCTTCCTCCACCTCCCACACAACGAGACACTTCTTCCGCACTTTGATCCTGCCCGCCGCATTCCGGGCTCGGTATTGGCCAACGTCAGCGCTGGCGATGTGCTGTTCATCCCGCCGCTCTGGTTCCACACCGTTGTCGCAACCTCGGTCGACTCGATCTCGCTCTCGGTCTGGTCGCCATCGCCGCCATCGGCTGCGGTCAACAGGGTTCTCGCCCGCGACTTTCCGCTCTGGGACGCCGACCACTACGACCGCGACTCGCGGCTGGCCTTTGCGCTCGACCTCCTGGGACCGATTGTCGACGCTGCCCTCGTTGGCAACGGGTATGACTCGCGCGCCCAAGTCTACACCGCTCTGCTTGAAGAACGGTACGCTCCGCTCCTTGCTCAGGGCATGACCTCGCTACTTCCTGTCGACGACGCCGAGCTCGGCCGCTGCGGCTTTGCGGCGCACAAGGTTGCGGAACGAGGCGCCGCCGCCCGTGCTGCAGCCAACGAGCTCCCGCTCGAATCGGAGGACGCCGATTATGCTGAACGCGCCAACGCCGCCCTCGCCAGCGTCGACGATGTTTCTGGCGCCCGCACCCTCTACACTTTCAACATCATTGAGCGAGTGCTCGAGGCTGCGGGTGGCGTCGACATCGTCGCCGCCGTCCTGCGCGACAACGGAGACCCGAGCTGCATCCAAGCTCAGCGAAAGGCGTAGCTCGAGCCCGGCCCGGCGGCAACCCGCGCCACGCCACACCCGTCGAGCTCGCCGAGCACGATGGGAGTTGCGGCGTCGTCGGTCGTCCCGCTCCCAACCTGCCCGTGCTCGCCCCAGCCCCAGCTGCAGACCGCACCCTCGGCAGTGAGGGCAACTACGTGCTCAGAGCCCGCGGCGATTGAGACGACGTCGCCGGGTAGTGGGAGCGAGACAAGGCTGGTGGCGCCACTTCGGGGAGTCGTGTCGAGCAGGACGCCGCGGCTGTTGGATCCAGCAGCCGACACTGCGCCGCTCGGAGCGTGCACAAGACTAAACGACCAGCCGGCGTGGACTGAGCGGAGCGGCCCAGTGCCAGGCAGCTCGCCAGCTACAGGTGTAAAAGTGGGAACGATCTTGTCCGCGCACTCTCCTACACCAAGTGTGCCGTGCGCAGCGGCGCCGCAAGCAAGCACACGCCCGTCGGCGAGCGCAAGCGTCGACGTCTTGTAGCCGCAGGCCACGCTTACTGCATCGCCGATGCCGCCAACCTGCTCTGGCGTGCAGACGAGCACCTTGCGCCCGGTGCGGTGGCTGTCAAGCACGTCAGCGGGAAGGCCGAGCTGGCCAAACTTGCCATCGCCCCATGCGTAGACCTCGCCGGCATCGGTGACCGCCATCGAGTGGCGCATGCCGGCGCTGCAAGCCACAGCCACGCGGCCTGGACCAAAGCCCGAGACTAGGCCCGGCCCGAGGCCGTCCGGCCCGGTACCGAGCTGGCCAAAGGCATTGGCACCAGTGCCGTAGATTGCGCCTGACGCCGTAACCACCAGGCTGTGCTCCCAGCCAGCTGCCACGCCCACCGCCCGCTCGCCGCCGAGCGCCTCCATCAGCGCAGCGAGCACTGTCATCTCTGTTCGCGATCCATCGCCGCCGAGCTGGCCGACGGCATCGTCGCCGCACCCAACAAGCGTGCCGTCGGCGAGGAGCACAACTAGGTGGCCGGCTCCGGCAGCGACGTCGACGACGTCAGCAACAGCCTCATGCGGTAGGCGCACCTCGACTGGAGCGAGACGGTCGTCGCAGTCGCCTGTGCCAAGCTGTCCGTGCGAGTTGGCCCCCACGCCCACATCGTCTTGCCGTCACCTGCCATTCACGCGAGCAGACGCAGATGAGTGTCCATCCGCAGGCAAACCCGCCCAGCCTGCAGCAGCTCCAGCCGCAACCAACCCAGCCGCACAGCCGCTGAGCTACACAGCCCATGCCGTTGCCATCGTACTGCATGTTCACCTCCTCCCATCCTCCCCATCCCCACCACTGCAGGAAATCAGACCAGAGTCAATCAGCCAGACCCTTTGTGCTTCCAATCGATGTCATTGATGGCTGGCTCGCTGGCTCGCTGGCTCGCTGGCTGGCTGGCTGGCTCGCTGGCTCGCTGGCTCGCTGGCTAGCCGCTCCCCCCCCAGACTCGCCCACCAACGGCAAATCTTCCCACCCAACTACGTTACATACACCAGCAGCACATCATGGAGAAGGTTCGGGCCCAGATGGCCAAGTGGCGCGAGGAGGTCGAGACGGCCAACGACCGCATCGAGGAGCTGGAGGCACAGGTCAAGGTATGCTTCTTCCCCAACTCTCAATCCCCCATCCCTCACCCTCTTCATCTCCATCCTCCCCTCCTCCCTCTCGTCCACAATGCGCGTGCCGCCTGTCCCTTTCCCAAAAACTTTGCTCCTTCGCTGCCTTTCACCAGAAACACAGCCAGGCACCCTGCTCGGCCTAGCCCCGTGCCACCATCCACGCCATACTCGCCACCGCCCGCCCTCCCCACCAACCACACACCGTGCCCACACACATTATCTTCCCCTCTATTTCCTCCCCTCCTCCCTCCACAGCCGCCTTCTTTCCCCCACCCCACCCCCCCCCCCCCCCCGCGTCCCCTCGCATCTTTCGTTATGTTTTGTCATGTCATGTCGCATTGAACGGCAAAGAAAGAGACCAAGACCAGACCCCCCTACATACTCACGCACACACGTATATTCTCTGTTTAGTCTGTGAGCGAGGAGAAGGAGGCTGCGCTCGCCGAGGCGGAGGACGCCCGCCGCAAGCTGCAGCTTTCGCAGGACGAGGCTGAGTCGCTCGAGGCCCGCCTCGCCGAGGCTGAGGACAAGGCTGCCAAGGCTGTCGAGCGTGCCGACCAGGCCGAACAGGCCCGGTCGTCGGCTGAGAACCAGCTGGCGCTTGCCGACGAACAGGGCGGCGATGTCGGCGAGCAGCTGGCCGCGCAGCGTGACGCTGCTCAGGCCGCCGAGGCCCACGCCGAGGACCTCGAGCGCAAGCTGCGCCGTGCCGAGGAGCAGATCGAGGAGCTCGAGAACCAGGTCGAGGATCTGTCCAAGGTCAAGGATGACCACCACGAGGCCGACATGCGCGCAGAGAACGCCGAACGCAAGATCAAGGATCTCGAGACCCAGCTCGAGGAGATGGAGGAGAAGGTTGCCGAGGAGAAGGCCAACGCCGAGAAGGCCAAGAACGACCTTGCCGAGACCCTCCGCGAGCTCGGCATCGAGTAACTCTCGTTGCCCTGCCGTGCGCATACTGCACCCCATGGACCCTTCCCCATTTCCCCTCCTTGTCGAGCTTAAATCCATCACCTATTCCTACGCTCTACCGCCACCGCTTGCCCTTTGTTGTCATCAGGGCTCTGAACCCTCGTTCCGTCCAGCCACCGCATGTGCCACGTGTGAGCTGGTCAGGTCTCGTCAGCCTCTGCCCCCACCCCCACCCTCCCACCCACCCACCCACCCCCAAGCTCCCACCACTGCACACACCTCCCTCCCTCACTCACCCTTTCTGCACTCTATGTCTGTAGCCGACCTCGGCGTCCCGCTCTATGCCGTCGTCCGCACGACCGGCAACATGGTGTTTGCTGCCGGAGGCGGCGGCGGGTCGGCGACGGGCGTGCCCAACACCATTGCCGCCTGCTCGCTCTCATCATCCGGCCGCATTTCGCTTGACTCGCTGACCTCGACACACCCGCATGCTGTCATGACCCTCGCTGCCGCACCGACAGCTGGCGTCCTCCTTGCCGCCGAGGAGGAGGCCATCGGCGTCTACGACATCGCCCACCTTCTGCCCAAGGGCACCCTGGCTGGCGCACCCGCAAGAGCCGCTGCTGCTCCCGCAGCAGCCGCACCCGCGGCCTCCTCGCCGTCGACATCAAAGGCATCGTCGGCGTCGGCGTCGACATCAACAGAGCCTGCGACGGCTGCGTCGGGCGCATCAGACGAGTCTGATGCGCCCAAGAATGCGTCCGATGGTGACGACGCTGCACCCGGCACTGCCCTCGGCCTCACAAAGATTGCCGAGTGGAAGGCTGACCTGAGCAAGGACGAGCCGCGAGTTCGCAAGGTTGTTGTTGCTGATGCTGCCCGGCTGGTGGCCACAACCGGCTCCGAGGGCCGCATCCGGGTGTGGAAGCTGGAGCACCCTGAGTACACGCGGGTCCACACCCTTACTGGCCACACCGGCGTTGTCCGTGACCTCGCCTTCAACATGTACGCCTCGCGCATCGCATCAGTCTCGCAGCAGGACGGAACGCTCAAGATCTGGAACGTCTCGATGGGCTCGCTCATCCGCTCGGTCGCGGTCGAAACCGTCGCCGCCGCCATCGAAGGCGCCCTCGACTCGGGCCCCATGTCCGCCGTCCGCTCGGCTGTTGGCGGCTCGCCCGGTCGCGCCAAGGCGGGCTCCAAATCACGCCTCTCGTTCCGCACCGTCTTCTACAACCGCTCCTCAAACCGCCAGTGCCTCATCCTCGGCCTCACCGGCAAGATTGCCGGTGCCTCGGAGCCGTCGTCGCACGTCGCTGTCATCGATGCAGAGACCGGCGCCGTCGTCACCACCCTCAAGGTTGCCGATGAGCCCATGACCGCCATGGCCTACGCCGACGATGGCTCGCTGCTCGGCATCGCCACCGGCGAGCGCGTCTACATTGTCCAAGTCTCGGCCTCGCCTTCGGGCCTGCTGCGCCTCGCCCACTTTGTCTCGGTCACCCCACACCCGCTGCTTGTCACCTCGCTCGCCTTTTCGTCCAACAACTCTCACGTGCTCACGGTCTCTGTTGATCGCACGCTCGTCGCCACACGCATCACCGGCTCCTCCCGCTCGCTCTTCCTCGTCATCGCCCTCTTCCTCGCCACCGCCGCTCTCTACTACTACTTTGTCCTCGCCTGATGCGGCGCCATCGCCCATAAAGTCACCGTATAGCCGCCTGTATCCGTATTGTAGCTGATGGCAGCTGTTTGCGCCCAATCAGCGCCACTGGTCCGTGGAAGCACTGCTCCTGCGTCTGCCTCCGCAGATGCGCGCTTCCACCTGGCAGAGCGGCCGGACACTTGGTCATTGGCGACAACTGTAGCTCGACGACGACAAGTCCGATTGACTCGACGACGGAACATTGCTTTGTTGCAGTACATCATGCTCCACCATCTTGACGCCCGAGCTCCATTCCGTAAACGCAATGAGCAAAGGAGGCATCATTGACAGCAGCGGCAGCTGGCGGCTGACGCCGGGCCGATAAGCGGCCACTCAACTTGACACCACTCGACCCGCGGCCATGGCGACGAGCAAGCACGACCGGCTGATGGAGCTGTTTTCTGTGGCGCGGCGGGAGGAGCGACCTCTATACGTGCAGGCGCCCATGGTCCGGTACTCGAAGCTCCCATTCCGGCTGCTGGTGGCCGGGTATGGCACCGACGTGGTGTACACGCCCATGATTGTCTCGGATGCCTTCCTCAAGTCCTCGCTCTCGCGCGACTGCGAGCTGATGACCTCGCCGGCAGAGACAGCGCCGCTGATTGTGCAGTTTGCGGCGGCAAACACCCGCCAGTTTGTCGATGCTTCGAGCATGGTCTCGCAGTACGTGAGTGGCGTCGATCTTAACTGCGGCTGTCCCCAGGGGTGGGCCATGAGTGACGGACTCGGCTCGGCCCTCATTGCCAAGCCCGAGCTGGTCAAGGACATGATTGCCACCACGGTGGCCCAGGCCGAGTGTCCAGTAACCGTCAAGATCCGCCTCCGCGACACGCCCGAGGAGACCATCGAGCTGGTTCGTAGGCTCGAGGCTGCCGGCGCGGCATGGATCACCATCCACGGGCGGACGCCGGCAAACAAGCGCGGCGGCGACGTCGACTACGACGCCATCGCCCTCGCAGCCTCGGCCGTCGGCATCCCGGTCCTTGCCAACGGCGACATCAACTCGGTTGCCGACGCCCATTCGGTTGCCGCCGCCACAGGCGTCGACGGCGTCATGTCTGCTCGCGGCCTCCTTGCCAACCCGGCCATGTTTGCCGGCTTGGACTACACCCCCATCGAAGCCGTCCGCGAGTACATCCGCCTTTCCCTCGCCTACTCGGAGAAGTTTGTCCGCGTCCGCTACCATGTCCTCACCATGACCAGCGCCATCCTCCCGCGCTGGGCCCGCTCTGCCCTCGCTGAAGTCCACACCGTCTCGGACATCTTTGACCTCTTCCTCTCGCGCTTCAACATCGACCTCTCGCCCGCTGCCGCCGATCCCACCAACTCTCCTGCTCCGTGATGCCCAGCTCGCTTTAGCGCTGGCCACTGCAGCAGATCCCGCTGATGGGCCTGCTGCAGCCGCCGAGCTCTTCGCCCGTGCCACATAACACCAACTCATGCGTCACCCCCATCCCCCCCCCCCCCCCCCCCACCGCATGTGACCCCTCCACACCGTGACTCGCTTTCGAGCCCATTGGAAGGTGAGCCAGACTCTCTCGAGCCAATGAAGTCGGGCGAGGCGAGACAGAGACAGAGGCGGAAGCCAGCTGGTATCACTCGTCTCATGGCAGTAGAAAGAGAAGGAGGCATAGGTGGTAGTGACGGCAATAGCCAGGGCGGCGGTGGTGCAGGCAGGCAGCCTGTACCACCGTCTGCAGTGCCGTCCACTGCTTCCACCCGTGGCGCTGGGCGCGGCCGAGGACGTCGAGGCTCTTCCCGGGGAGCACCCCCCGGGTCCTCGCGCGGCCGCCCCGGACGTTCCACAGGCAACAACAACAAGATTAACAACAACAAGACCACCAACAACAAGACCACCAACAACAAGACCGACGCAGCAAATGCTTCTTCTGCTGGGAATGGGATCAAGGCCAGCAGTTCTGGTGCGGCTGGCGCGAGCAAGAGAAGGAACAGGCGCAGGAACAAGGGCAAGGGCAAGGGCAAGGCTGATGCTGGTGGTGCGGCAGCGGCGGCTTCAGCTGCAGCTGATGGTGCTGCAGTTGATGGGGCGGCTCAGCCCCCGCGCCAAGCCCGCAGCCGTAGCCGTGGTCGGGGTCGTGGTCGTGGTCGGGCCGGCCGTGGTCGCGGTCGCGGTGGTGCCGCGTCTTCCGGACGCGGCAAGCCCGTGCTTCGGGCGGATGCGCCTGCGTTTGTGCCGGGCGCCGTTGTGGCGACCTCTGCGACCTCTCAGGCCAACGCGCCGACGGGAGGCGGTGGCAAGAAGAAGCAGAAGCGGGGGAAGAACCGGAAGGGCAAGGGCAGGGCACCCGAGGCGGGCAAGGGCGGCTCGAGCCGCGGGCCTCCGCCATCAAAGGCCCGTCCGAGTGTGGCGCCAGCGCCTGTCGACACTGTCGGGCACTCGACGCTGGCGGCTGGGCTGATGCGCGAGCTGGTGAGCGGCTCGTACGAGTGCATGGTGTGCATGGACAACATCAAGTCGCACACCGCAGTCTGGTCATGCGACCGTTGCTTTGCGCTCTTCCACATCTTCTGCATCAAAAAGTGGGCCCGAGCGGCCGAGGCCGGTGAGCCATGGCGGTGCCCTGGATGCCAGCACGAGGTCCACTCGCGGGCGTTCAAGTACATGTGCTACTGCGGCAAGGTGAAGGAGCCCGAGTTCAATCCGTACATCACGCCGCACTCGTGCGGTGACAACTGCGGTAAGCTCCGCAAGGGCACTCCGTGCCCACACCCGTGTACCATGCCATGCCATCCGGGCCCGTGCCCGCCGTGCTCGGCCACAGCTCCGGCTCGCCCCTGCTTTTGTGGTGCCACCACGTACGTGCCGCGTTGCTCCGACGTTGACGCCGGCCGCTCGTGCGGCGCCGCTTGCGGCAAGCCGCTCAACTGCGGTCGCCACACGTGCGCCAACGAGTGCCATGACCTCGGCTGTCCGCCGTGTGACATTGAGTTTGAGCAGACGTGCTATTGCGGGAGCGAGACTCGGGTCCGCAACTGCGCGCTCGCTGAGTATGACATCGGCTTTGCCGACGATCGCGCTTTCGCATGTGGCTCGACGTGCGGCAAGAGCCTCGAGTGTGGCGAGCACACCTGCGGGCGGTCGTGCCACAAGGGCCCCTGCGGGCCGTGTCCACTGGAGCCGGAAGTAGTGACTACTTGCCACTGCGGCAACAGCGAGCTGGCCACCCTTCCGGCGCCGGCGCGCGAGGCGTGCACCGATCCGATTTCGTCGTGTGGTGGGTTGTGCGGCCGCGAGCTGGAGTGCGGGCAGCACCCTTGCCCGCGCGTGTGCCACCCGGGCCCATGCCCGCCTTGCACTGCCGCGGTCGAGGCGTCGTGCCGGTGCGGGTCGACGAGCGCGAGCGCTCTCTGTGGGGTGGTCAATGCCGACTCGACCCGCAGAGCCGCCAATGCAGCCTGCGCCCTGCCCGAGGTTCGTGATAGCAACGGCGACCTGCTCGCGGCGTACCAGCCGCACTACGAGCCGCTCGACACCACTCCGATCCGGTGCAAAAAGGTGTGTACCGCGCGGCTGCATTGCAAGCGGCACCGGTGCCGGGAAGTGTGCTGCCCGCTCAACCCCGACCTGCCGGCAGCGTTTGGCCGTGACGACCCGGGCGGGCTCCACATTTGCCGACGCGTGTGCAACCGCGAGCTGTCGTGTGGCAACCACCGTTGTGAGCGGCTTTGCCATCGGAACGCGTGTGGGGAGTGCGGCAACGTCTCGTTCGACGAGATGGTCTGTCCATGCGGCGCGTCGCGGATCCTTCCGCCGATCGAGTGCGGGACTGCACCGCCGCAGTGCTCACAGCCGTGCTCGATCCCGCGACCGTGTGGACACCCGATGGCTCATCCGTGCCATCCGGCCGGCTCGCCGTGTGCTCCGTGTGCGTTCCTCACGTCGCGGCCGTGCAACGGCGGCCACAAGATCATGCCGCACGTCCGGTGCTCGCTCTCCAATGTGTCGTGCGGCGCGCCGTGCGGCGTGGCCATGCCTTGTGGTGAGCACACGTGTCGGCGAACATGCCACTCGGGCGAGCACGTGGTGGCCAAGGCAGCGGCCGGCGACGGGGCCGGCCCGTCGGACGCTGTGCCTGCCGAGGCTGCTGACGATCCCGATGCGCCTAACCCGCAGTCGTGCCGGCAGGCATGCCACCGGATGCGATCGTCGTGTTCGCACCGGTGCCAGGCGATGTGTCACCCGGGCGAAGCATGCCCGGCAGTCCCGTGCTCTGCCCGAGTCCGGGTCTCGTGTGGGTGTGGGCGGATGAGCCGCGAGGTGGTCTGCTCACGCGGAGGGCCGCCCGAAACCGAGTCGCGCATCGTCCGAGCGCTCGAGTGCGACGAGGAGTGTGCTCGGGTGGCGCGCAACGCGCGCCTCGCGCTCGCGCTCGACTCGTCAGGCACAGCTGCGCTGCCGACTGCTGTCGAGTACTCTGAGTTTCTCCAGGTTGCTGCCGTCCGCGAGTCCGCGCTCATTGCCATGCTCGAGCAAACGTTTGGCAAGCTCCTGGCGACGCCGTCGACGACGTCGACCAACCTGCCGCCCATGCCGGCGTCGCAGCGCGAGGTTGTCCACGAGCTCGCGGTCGTCTACCACCTGCACTCAGAGTCGTACGACACCGAGCCGCACCGACGGGTGGTTGTTTCGAAGCGGGCCGACTCGCGGTCGCCGCCGATTCTGCTCTCCGAGTGGCAGGCGGTGGTGCGGACGACCCGCAAACTCGAGCGCGAAAAGGCAGCAGAGGCTCGCAACCTTGGCGTGACGCTCGACCCGGAAGAGGCATCGGTGGAGGACCTCAACGCGCTGCAGATCTACGGGCTCGACCCGTCGGTCAAAACTCGCAATTTGCTGGCCTTCCTCATGCCGTTTGAGAACGAGTACCGGCTCCAGTGGGTGGACGACGAGAACGCGCTTGCCATCTTTGTCTCGCACATCCGTGCGATGCAGGCGTACAACCTCCTCAACGGCCGCCGCTTCCCGGTCCGCCTGGTTGCGGTGCCAACTCCCAGCTCGCGCGCCTCGGCCCGCACCAGCAAGCTCTCGGGCGCCGCCAAACGGCGCAAAAAGCTCACCTCAATGTCCACCACCGCCCGGCCGCCACCAACTTCGAGCGCAGGAGTGTACGAGAACATGGTCGTCCAGTCGGAGGCAATCGCGCCCATCGCCTTCAACCCGTTTAACGTCCTCACTCGCACCGACCTCGTGCGGGAGGCCACCGAGGCCACGTTTGCTTCTCCACCCAACGAGCCGGCGTCCAACGACGACGGTGACGAGTCGTGGGAAGATGCAGCCGGCCCTGACGACGGTGAGTCTGCCGAGTCTGCCCCCAATACCGACCATTAACACACCGTTGTTCGCGGCTTCATTCCACGCTCGCGGCAGTGCTCGGCCCGCCACCATCGTCCAGGAGCACAGTGGCAGCAGTCGCAACGGTCGCCCCGGCTGTGCCGACCACCACAGTGGTGGCCGCGGCAGCTGCAGCAGCTGCAGCGGTAGGCTGCGGCGGTGGCGTGGGAGCCAGCGGCACCACCCGCGCGTCTACCGGGAACGGCGGGATAACAGCAAGTGCGGCGAGGAGCGCCGACGCCTCTGGTCGCGCGTCTGGATCCTCAGCCCAGCTCGAGGTGATGATGTCGGTGAGGACGCCTGGCATGGCCGTCGGCAGCTTCGGGCGCTCCTTCTCGACCGCGACTTTCATCACTAGCTGGACTCGCGAGTACTTGTAGATGATGCGGCCGTCGCCGGCGCGGACCGCAAACGGCGGTGTCCCGGTGAGCATCTGATAGAGGACCATGCCAAACGAATACATGTCGACCTTGTGCGAGTACCGCTCGTCGCGGACAACCTCGGGCGCCAGATACAGCGGCGTACCGATGACCGTCATTGTCGAGTCGGAAGAGACCCGCGAGACACCAAAGTCGGCGATAACCGCGCGCAGCGAGTTGTCGACCAGGATGTTGCCAGGCTTGAGGTCGCGGTGGATGATTGCCGGCTCGACTGCATTGTGCAGGTAGTCGAGTCCAGTCAACACGCCGCGCGCGATAACGAGTGCGTCGGCAATTGGAAGAGCGCCCGGCGCAAGCATCTCCTCCAGCGACCGCGGCACGTACTCCATGACCATCATCCGTGGCGACGCCGCCAGGCAAACCCCATGTACCCTCAGCACATTCGGATGGTCAAGCTGTAGCAGCAACGCAGCCTCGTCGTAGAACATCTGGGTGGCCAGTGCTGAGGTCTTGAACAGTGTCTTGACCGCCACCTGCACACCGGTCCGGCTCGCCCCGGAGCCGGTCATCAGCCGGGCCAATCGAACCTCACCCGATGCGCCGACGCCAAGCAACTTGCCAACCACAACGTCGGTCACCGCCAGCGCGCGTGCTTCCAGTAGCGCGTGCTTGCTCGCGCGCTCCTCCAGCGTGTCGATCCGCTTCTTCCGCCGCCCCATTCGCCCAGGCTTCCTGCTCCCGTCGATCCGCTTTAGACGCTTGCTTGCCGGCGGCGCATCAGGAGTGCAGCACTCCTCTGCTTGCCGCTTGGTCTCGACGACGGCCGCGTTGCCGTGGATTGGTGCGTCGCGGAGCGGCGAGAGTGGCCTGCGATAGCGGCGGACAGCTGCGGCAGTTTCTGACGTTGGCGGCAGCGAGGCGAGGTACGCCAGCGCATCGGTGATGAGCGTCCGCGCCTGCTCGCGGGCCTCGGGTGGAATAGAGAAGCTGATCTCTGTGTTCGAAAGCCTCCCGGTCTCCAGCACCTCCTTGATGGATGTCAGCGACTTGAGCGAGACGGCGCCGTCTGCGGTGGCATACGGCAGCTTCCAGCTCGCCTTGCGCTTCGGGTTACCGACCACCAGAAACGACGACATCGGCAGCTGCGACCGTTTGTTACATGCCAGTACGCCGTCAACCACATACCGTCTGCTCGCCATGTCCCTCTCTGTCTGTGGGAGAGGTGAACCACTGTACGTCACGGAAGCGTGTTGGCACAGGCCATGGTATGCATGGCAGCACCAACACTGAACTGAAGGGAGAGACGAACACTCGATGAGACGATGGACCATGCAGACAAGGAGTCAGACGATGGACCATGCAGACAGGGAGTCAGACGATGGACCACACAGACAGGGAGTCAGACGATGGACCACACAGACAGGGAGTCAGACGATGGACCATGCAGACAGGGAGTCAGACGATGGACCATGCAGACCAGTCAGACGATGAATCAAACGATGACGCAGACAATGAATCACAGTGTACGAAAGGACGAACAAGTTCATTGCCCACATTGTTCATTGGCGCCACCTCACACCAACCACTTCCTCCACCCACCCCACCCACCCACACACACACACACACACACACACACGCATACCACCTCGTAGTCTATCCCCTCGTCACTCCCTCCATCACAGACATAGTCACTCTACACATACACATGCCTCGTCCATACCCGCTACAGAACCTCCTCGTCCTCGCCCTCGCTCTTGCTGGTGTCACACTCGCTCTGTCGCTGCCCGGTGCTGATGCTGCTTGTGGTCGGTGCCTGGCTGGCTCATGCTCGGATCCGGTCTGTGTCTGTGCAAGTTCAGCTGTCACAGAAGCTGATTGTGGCCTGTGCGTCTCGCCGGAGACCTTTGCCGGAATGGACTGTCAAGACGCCTCACCCGCCCATGTCTATCCGCACCGCCTCCTTTTCCGCACGCTGCGAATCGCTCGCGGCTTGGCACAGCGCTGGTCGCTGACACTGACATGCTTGTTGTTGGTGCGCCCGACGTCGACGCTGTCTTCCTCTATCCGCTGACTGACGGCGCTGCCTCGCCCCTCGTCCAGCCTGCTTCACTCTCGGGGCCGCCCGCCTCGGGCTTTGGCTCCTCCGCCGTTCTCGGCTCAGCCATGATCGCTATTGGAGCGCCGAACGGATCGCCATCCCATATAGGCGGTGAGGTGCACGTCTATGCCCGCACTGGCGCTGTGGCTGGTGTGTTTCTCGGAATCGTTGCGCCCGACGAGGCCTATGTCGGCCTTGTCGGCATCGCCGGCCTCGAGTTTGGCGCCAGCCTCGCCTGGTCTGAGCCCATTGGTATGCTTGCTATTGGCTTACCGGGCTACAACCCGGGCAGCACGCCCGGTGCTGGCGGCGTGGTCGTCGTATCGTCGGCGGCCGGTCCAGGCGGCTCGTGGGCGCCGGCAAGCGTCGTCGCCTCGCCCGTCCTGGTTGCTCCGTCCTCTGCCAGTCGCACCGGTGGCCGAACCGGCGCCGCCGTGGCTTGGCTCAGCTCTGCTGGCCGCGCAGTGGTATTTGTGGGTGAGCCGGGTGACGGCGCTGGTGCGCTGCCGACCAACGCCGGGCGGGTGCACGCATTCTTTGCCAACAACCCGGCGAGCGCGGCCGCCTTTTCGCAGCCGGCTTATCTTGCCGCCTTTTCGCCGCCGACGTACTCAACTAGGTGCCGCATTGCCACCGCGCCGTCAACCGCCGGCTCACGGTTTGGGGCGTCACTTGCCGCCGGCCCGAGTGGCGTCCTGGTGGTTGGCTCGCCCGGCGTTGCGACCACATGCGTCTTTCGACCGGCTTCCGACCCTGCGTCATCGCCGTTTGCCAGTATGGTCGATGTCTCCTCCCTCGAGCTTCCGTCGGGGGCACCAGGCGACGCCAGCTCAACGTTTGGCGCGGCTGGCCTGCTCGCCCGCAAAGACGTGGTCTTTGTGGGAACACCGTCGGCGACTCGGACCGCGCCGACGGTCGCTGCGGCAGCGGGCATGGTATTTGCCTATCACATCCCGGGTATGACCGACTACGACGCAGCTTTGCCTGTCACGGCGACCGTGCTCGAGATTCTTGCGCCGGTAGGGGCCAGCGCACCGAGCGCCAGCTTCGGCGCTGCGCTCGCGTCTGGCCCGCTGGCAGCCTCCCACATGTACGTCAGTGCGCCGGGTCTCCCCTCAATGGCCAACGAGGCAAACTCGGGTGGCGTCCTTCCTGTGCGGACGCGCTACTGCCTCGCCGGCCAGTACGTGACCGACACGGAGTGTCTGCCGTGCCCGGCTGGTGACTTCCGGCCATCACTCAGCTACGCGGGAACGTGTCTCCCGTGTCCGATCGGGTCGTACGCCAACGCCGCATCCGGAGCAACTAGATGTGAAGAGTGTCCGCGGGGCACGTTCCGTGACACCGCCGGTGGCGCTCTCGTCGACGCGTGCACACCGTGCCCGCTGGGCATGTATGTCAACGCCACCGGCGAGGCCTCATGTCTCCTCTGTCAGTCGGGCAGCTACGCCGACACCGAGGGCTCGTCGACTTGCGCCGCGTGTCCGGTCGGCGGCGATTGTCGGGCCCTCGGTGTCGGCATTCCGCAAGCACTACCGGGCTACTGGCGCGACACAAGCGCGTCCGGCTACGTCTTTACCCAGTGCCAGGCACCAAGCTCGCGATGTGCCGGGCGCAACCAGTGTGCGGCCAACTGGGTCAATCCGCCGCTCTGCTCCGACTGCGCACAGGGCTACTTTCTCAAGCAGGACTACACCAGTGACCCGCAGTGTGCCAAGTGTCCCAAGTTTATCATGGCCTACGTCGCCGGCATCATCATCATTGTCCTGAGCGTCTCGGTGACGCTGGTTAACCTCGCGCGGAGCGCCACCGTCTTTATGACCTCGATCGGAGTCGGGCTGAACTTTATCCAGATTGCAGCCGTGCTCTCGACCTTTGACGCCGGCTGGCCGCAGCAGACCCAGAAGTCGCTCAACTATCTCACGCTCTTCAACCTCAACCTCGAGCTCTTTTCCATCGAGTGCGTGCAGTCGACCGGACTCTCGGTCGCTGGCAAGCTGATGGTCAAGCTCGCGCTCCCGCTCCTCTTCCTCTTGATATTTCTCATCATGTACTGTGTGGTCAAGATCTTCTACAAGTGCCGGCTCTCGTCGGTTGCCGAGGGCTCGGGGACGCAGTCTGTGGCGAGCGGGGCGCACACGGTGGCGGTTGCATCAACCTCGCAGTTCCGCTCGCGCTCGCTGCTGAAGAATGCCAAGACGTGGGAATGGGCGGTGGTCAACGCTTCGCTCTCGATGCTCAACCTCATCTACATCTCAATTACGCTGACGTGCATGGAGGTGTTTGACTGCGAGGACGAAGACGGTGACGGAGTCTTCCGCATGCGGTCACAGCCAGACGTCAACTGCTACACCGCTCAGTGGCGCAAGATCCGGCTGTACGCCCTTGTCGGCGGCGGGGTGTACGGTCTCGGCATCCCGATGCTCTTCTTCTTCCTTCTCAAGTCGCGGTCATCCAAGCTCCACCGGCGGTCGGCTGTGCTCCAGCTCGGTCTCCTCTACCGCAAGTACACCAAGTACTCGTACTTGTGGGAGCTGGTCATTATTCTCCGCAAGATTGTGGTTGTCGGCGTCAAGCTCTTCTCCTCGCAATTTTCCGAGGTGACCCGCATGCAGATTGTGTTTCTGGCCATGACATTCTTCTTCCTCCTCCAGTGGGTGCTCAAGCCGTATCAGTCCCGGCGGGCAAACCGGCTGGAGCTCTTTACGCTCTTTTGCGTCATCGGCGTCCTCCTCTGTGGCCTCTTCTTCCAAAAGGCGCTCGGGATGACGCCGTCGACAACGGAGCGGTTTCTGGTCGGCTACGTGGTGCTCGGCATTGTTGGTGCCGCGCTGATCGCCATTGGCTTTGTCATTGGATACGACTTCCGCAACGCGCGGCGGATGAAGAAGCGCGGCATGGTCGGTGCGTATGCTACCGAGGACGTCCAGGTCTACCCCCACTTCTTCCGCTCGGGCCTCCGCATGGCCTCCGAGTGCCGGATGGTGACGACGACCGACCACTTTTCGAACCTAATGGTCTCTTACACGTACGACGTGTACACCCGGACGCCACGGCCGCGGATCGAGGTCCGCGGCGCGGCCCGCAATCGTTTTGGCAACGTCCGGTCGTCGTACTTTGACGGCCGGGTTCAGATCCAGCATGATGCCACTGAGAACCTGTACATCGCCTCGGCGCTCTTCCCACACCCGGGCAACTACGTGCTGCGGTTTGCCGGCGGCGTCCCTCTCGAGCCACCGTCGGGATGCTGCACACGCCGGCTCACCGACCGTGCGCGCGAGGAGCGCGAGTCGCTCTGGCACCCCAAGCGCATCCTCATGGACTACGCGCTGGTGGTGACCGAGGCGGCAGCAACTGGTGACCAGCAGCAGTTTACCGACCTCGAGCGCCTGCGTGGGCGCAATGGCCTCCTCTTCTCGCCGGTCGAGCAGTATCTTGTCGCCGGTGCCGTCTTCTTCCGCATCAAGATCCCGCACGCCCACGGCGTGGTCGTTCTGCAGGACGAGGGCGCGTCCGAGACCCACCTCATCAAGGAGAAGCGGGCATCGTACTCGGCAGACACCTTCCACGCCGACACCTACTCGGGCGACGTGGCCCTGGTTCCCGGCCGGGTCACAGTGGTGGCCTTTATGCGCGACGACACGCTCGAGGCCGCCATGAGCTCGTCGCACGGCGGCGGGCGCCGCCGCCGCCAGCGCGCCTCGGGTACAGGCGGCGAGCTGCAAGACATCCAGCTGCTGGAGTATGTGGCGGTCGAAGGCGGGACTGGCGTTCAGTCGCCGTCAGGTGGAACCGTTGACGCGCGCCATGGTCGCGGCCGCCGGCGCAACACGGTCACTGGCGGCATCGCCGCGCCGCACCCGAGCCATGGCGCTGCTGGTGCAACGACGGCTCTGGCTGCGTACGATTTTCTGGACGAGGAGCGCCCAGTCTCGTACTATGACGAAGACGCCGGGGTCGGCCTCGACACCGTCGACGTGACCATGCTCGGCTATGCCGACTTTTCGTCGTCGTAGCCCGTCACCGGTCAAGGGTGTGCAGCGGCGCCGGATGGGCCGGCACCGCGTTGAGGTGGCGAAGCTCGCCAGTGTCGGGTGTAAACCGCAGAAAGTAGGTGTGCAGCACGCGGTTGATGCGATCGGTGAAGTCAGACGGGCCGAGGAGAAGCGTGTGATGCAGGCCCGTGGCAATGTACGCGCCGAGAGCCGCCAGAGCCACCAGGAGCGGCAGCGAGTGGACGAGCCACGGCAGCGAGAGCCAAGCGGCTGGCGGCGGCTCCGAGCAGACATAAAGCGCGGCGTAGATGTTTGCAGCGACGAGGAGGCCCAAGATGGTCAGATACCGGGCACGGAGACTCCGCAGATGGCGCAGATGCTCGCTCATCCGAGCCTCAAACACAAAGATGTCTTCGAGCTGAGCCATCCGCTCTGGGTGGTACTCGGCCGCCGCACTCGCGCCACCTCCTCCTGCCGCCCCTGCGCCCGCCTTCGGTCTGCCGCTCGAGCCACGCATCCTCGCCCCGCTTCCTCTTCCTCTACTTGCTTCGCCCGTGCTGCCTCCCTTTGGTCGACCCATCCGCTTGGCCGCCGCACGCAGAATGGCTGCTGTGTTGTCTGTCGTCGCCGCCGCAGACGCCGCCACAGCCTCGGCCGTCAGCCCAGCGCGTTGTGACATTCGGAGGTGGAAGGGGGTGGGGTGGGGTGGGGTGGGGTGGGGTGGGGTGGGGTGGGGTGGGTAGAGTGGTCTGTGGTGTGGTCGTCGTCGCCGTCGCCGTCGTCGTCGTCGCTGCCTTGTCACCGGGTGCCAGCACGCCTGGCCCGGTCTGACTCGGGTCGGGGAGAGGATATGACCCGAGAGCCGCGGATGGGTTTAGTTATCGGGGGCCTTGGCGATGTCCATGGTCTGGGGCTTGTCGGCGGCGGGTGCGTAGCTCGGTGACGTTGGTGCGTAGGTCGGTGACGACGGGGTAAAGCCGGCAGAGCTCGAGGCAGGAGCGTAGCCGAGTGATGACGGGGTAAAGCTGGGTGTCTCCGTCGCAGGCGCATAGCCTGGTGATGAGGGCGCGTAGGTCGGCGATGACGGGGTGAAGCCTGACGGCTCCGTGGCGGGTGTAAAGCCGGCCTGCCCAGCGGGGGTGAAGCCTGGCGTAGCCGCAGGCGTAAAGCCGGCAGTCGGCTCTGCCGCCGCAGGGGCGTGGGTCGGCGATGACGGTGCGTAGGTGGGTGAAGATGGCGCAAATCCAGTGCGGCTGGCCGCAGGCGCGTAGCCTGGAGACGACGGCGCGTAGGCCGGCGACGACGGGGCGTAGCTCGCAGTCTCGGTTGCAGGTGTAAAGCCAGTGGTGGGTGACGACGGCGCGTGTTTGGGAGACGACGGCGCGTAGCCGGATGCCGGTGGTACGCCGGCCGGGACGTAAGGTGCGGACGTGGCGCCGTAGCTGGGCGATGCCGGGGCGTAGCTCGCGGTCTCGGTCCGGCTTGTGCTGGGTGTGTAGCCGGTGTGCGGTGGGGCGGACTTTGCCGGCGTGGAGCCGCCTTGGTCGATGCGGAAGGTGGTCGACGAGCCAGCCATGGGGTCCTCGGTCCCGGACTTGCCGGATCCGTGGGCAAAGTTGACTCTGATGAACGAGCCTTCAAAGATGGTGCAGTGCATGGCGGCGATGGCGCGCTGGACGGCATCCTTCTTGTCAAAGGTGATAAAGCCGTAGTTCTTGTCGGGGATTTGGCGGAACTCGAGCACGTCGCCAAACTGCGAGAAGGCTTGGTACACGCTCTGCCGCGTTGTCTCGCGCGATAGCCCGCCCACATACACCGTGTATTCGGCATCCTCCCGCGCCCGCTTCCCGCGCCCTCCCTCGCCCACATCGCCATCGCCCAGGCCCTTGGCCACCTTGGCCGCCCCTCCGCCATCGCCACGGCCTTCATCGCTGTCCTCGCGTCGCCGCTTGCTCCCGACCTCGCCGCTGCCGCAGCCTGTCGCTGTCGCCGCCTCGGCCGCCGCTGTCTCCGCCGCTGCAGCAGCAGCAGCAGCCTTGGCCTCAGCCTCAGCCGCAACAGCCTTCTCCGCCGCAGCCTTGGCCTCGGCCTCGGCGCGCGCCCGTGCTGCCTCGGCCTCAGCCGCCGCCGTCGCCGCCGCCTTTCGCGCAGCTTCGGCCGCAGCCTCGCGGGCTGCCTTGGCCTCGGCCGCCCGCGCCGCCCGCCATGCCGCAGCTGCACGGTACTTGCTCGTCAGTCCATCCTCCTGTACCGTCAGTGTCACTGCACGTGTGCTCATGGCTGGCCGGGGTGGTGGAGTGAGGTGGCCTCACGTCCACAGCCGACGAGCTTGTCACCCCCGGCTCGGCGGCAGCTGGAGCCGTCGCATACGATTGATTGGCTTTACGCCCATATTAGCGGGTCTCGACAGCGTACATGGTGTATGCGATCTGGGTATGTTGTTGTCTATGCAGGAGGACCGAAGCTTGGGCTTGCAATCATTCCCAGGCCGGGGCTAGTAGCCATGGTAGCAGTCGCCGCAGCGTGAGAAGATGTTGGTGAGAACAACGGCGAGGAGGGCAGTAAAGAGGAAAGAGGAGATGACCGACCACGAGATGACCTTGATCTGTCGCCGGTAGACAGCAAGATCGGTCCACTCGATGTATACCGCGTCCTGGAGAGAGATGCCTGGCGAGTAGAACGAGTTGAACTCAGTCTTGGCCATGGCGTTCGACGCTGACCGCTGGCAGGTGTCGAGAATCTTGCGCGACTTGATGCGTAGGCCACCGATGGCCTTGGCCCGTTCCCACATACCCTGCCGCCGGCCGCCGGTGACGTCGATGGCCGGGAACACCCGACACCCGTAGTTGCGCGGCTTCGCGCACGCGCACGCCCACACGCTGACCTGCTCGCGCGACGTCGATGGTCTGGTCACAGGTGTGGTGTAGCTCGGGAGATGTAGGACGCCCGACTTGGTCCGCAGCTTGGAGATGTGCTCGCCGGTCACGCCCTGCCTCCAGCCGAGCTGTGGATCGGTAAATCGTGCAAACGAGCCGGCCGCCAGTGCCTCCAGCTGCGGCGAGCCGAGGTCTGGGACCGGCCCGTTGTACATCTCGACTGGATCGTTGAGCACTCCGAGTAGTGCGAGATACACCCCACCAGTGCACGCCGCCACCGCACACGCCACCGCCATGGTCCCAAGCACGATGAAGAACTGGGCCGAGAGCTCGTCGTCGTGGTAAAAATTGATGTCGTCGATGTGCTCGGTCACGCCCGGCAGGTACCAGCAGAAGAAGATAATGATGGCGACGACAGGCACGACAACTAGGAAGAGCACGAGGCCCACCACAAGCGGGACAATCGGCTCGCCAGACCCGTAGCCGAGAAATCGAATGATCAAATAGGTGTGGAAGAGATGAACGAATGTAACCGTGAGGTACATGGCCGTAAACGGACACGGCTCCACGAGCGGGAGCCACCATGGCCGCGCATCATCAGCCGCGCCCGCCTGTCCTCTGCGACCTGCTTCCTGCTCCAGCCGCGCCACATCCGCCGCTGCCGCTTCAAGATTAGCAAACTCCACGCTTCCCCTCCTGGTCCCAGCCCCCGCCCCAGGTCTTCCCGGCGTTGTTGTTCTTCCAGGTGTGGTTGCTGCCGCAGGTGTGGCTGCACTCGGCCTGGTAGCCACCACACCCCGTGCTGCTACAGCCTCTTCATACGTAGGCAGCTCAATACCAGGACCTCCGGTGTAGCTTGGTGGTGACTCGGGAGTCGACATGATGGCTGCACCGTACGAGCCAGGCGAGTATACTCAGAGAGTACCCACGAGGTGCAGCAGAAAGATGTGTGCAGCCGATGGAAGTGAGGCCGGTGATGCGAGTCCGATTTGACGTGACCAATTGGAGGTCATCGGAATGGGGGTGAAGCTGCGGTGATGGTTGGAACCGATGGGGGACAGGATGGAAGGAAAGAAGGAAAGGAGGCGATGGAACGGTGGATCCATGGTTGGAAGAGGAAAAGGAGGGGGGTCGTTATCATTGACTCGGCGTCGCTGGGTGTTGCGTGTCGAGAGAGCCGTCGCACTTGCACTTGCACTCGCGCTCGCCGCCCTGGGTCTGCGCTCGCTCGGTCGCTATCCAGCGTTGCTCGGTCGCTGCTGGACTTGCCGCCCTGTGTCTGCGCCTACGTTGCCGCTATCCATCGCTTGGCTGTGGCCGAAGGAGCCAATCGTCGATGAGGACCCGTGTGCTGTCGTCACCACTGTTGTTGAGGACATAGACCCAGGCAGCGATGCGGACGCCGCGGCCGAGGGACGGGACAGTGGCAAGATGGGCGAGGCGGAGGTACCATGAGCTCTCGGGAGGAGCGTCTGGGTCGTACTTCTCGATGGCATCGGCAGCGTGGAGCTTGGCGCTCCAAGTGGCTGGGTCGGGCCACGACATGAGACGGCCGGCGCCAGCAACCTCGGGCGAGTCAACAAGCATGGCGCCTGGATACGGTGCGTCATGCTTAGGCAGGAACAGCTGGAGTCCCTCCATGTGCGCGGCGTGGCTGACAGCGCCGGCTGTCCACTCGGCTGTCCACGGAGCGCCCGAGTCGTCGTCATCGCGGAGAGTGCCGTAGGTGAACATGCGCGCGATGGGCGTGTGTGCCCGATCCGCCATGGCCTCATCAATGGCCGGAAGCAGGGCATGCGGCGCAAAGTATGCTTTGACTGCAGCTGCATCGAGCTGTGCGTGATGCGCAGTGAGGCCGAGCGTGAGGACACGCATGTAGGCATCCGACGGGCTGCGCGGCTCCCAGCTCGCCACGTCGGGCGAGGTAAAGGTGACGATGGGCGCATCCTCAAAGGTGCCGACACACAGCGCGCGGCCGTACCACCGCGAGGGAAAGAGATCAAGGCCATCGAGGCCAGCATCAACAAGCGCAGCAGGCGTCAGGCTCTTCGGCACGGGTGCCGAGTCGTTCTCCTCGCTCACCACGTGAACAAACTGATCCCATGTGAGCCGATGGATGACGCCAAGAACATAGTCGCCATCAGCATCATCACCGGCAGCTGCAAGATCAGTCCGCTCGATGAACGCAACACCGCCGGTCCACACGCTCGACTCGCGATGAAAGGAAAGGCGGAAGCCGTCGAGGCGAAAGGGGAGCGAGTCAGACGGTGGTGCCGGATTGGCACACGCCTTGTGCGGATGGAGCATCGAGGGCAGGATGGAGCCGTCGAGGTAGCACATGAGTCGGTCGACGAGCATGTTCGACCCATACGACATGTACCATACCCCGTCCTGCATGGTGGTGGTTGGGTGGTTGGGAG